AACTAGTGTAATATTATAAAGCAGATGATTTTTTCTTGGTAATGTATACCAACTAAACAATGACTAATTAACTTTAAATATACTCTTAGATAAAGACTGCTACTATCAGTCTTATCATTACAAATAACATTGTAACAATTCATTCAAATAAATCTACCTATTTTACTATCTCTACATCGTTTATCTATATACTGTACTGTAACTATAACTAACTAAATACCTCCTTTTTACTCATGCTTTCCTAGTATATTATACAAATATTAGCAACATTGTAATTTTGATAGACACTGTTTTTTGTATTCTGCATGTTTGATAAGATATCGTTGAGTGGCGCGAAGCGCGGAACGATCTTAGGCATCATATTTGCACTCTACGGTACTCCTCCAAAACGGCTTGACGGATCGAGACCAAAATTTCGTCGAAGGTCGACCTTCAGGTCACCGTCGTTTACCAGTAAAAAAAAATACCAATCGGTTCAATTCGGCGAGCACAGCATGAGAAACTGGTTCTGACTTCGCTACACACGAAGCAATCCTGGGCGCTCATTACTGTGTTGCCATATAAGTTGTTGATTGAGTTGTTATGTACTACTTAGCCTACCCAATTGAGTATTTTCTGTGATCTTATAACTTTGTCATATAATATAGGTATAGACCTATCTACCTATGCCAGGTATCAGGCATACTTAGGAGGTTAAAACTAATATTTAGTCAAATCAAATCAAATCATTCGCAGAATACAGTACTTATAGGTGTATACAATATTAAATATAATGTCCAGTGAATTCAGCCTGCATACAGGCGTGCAAATTTTTATACTATTTTATATTTTTATCTGATTAGTCTATAATTAAATTAAAATAAACATGTCATTGGAATTATTGGCATATATAATTACTATAGATTATGCATTTATTACTATATTCCATAAATTCTTTGACACTATATAAAACAATGTGCCAATAGCCATTTGGTTCATTCATTTTTCAGATTTATTTATTTGCCATATTATTATATAGGTTATATTTATAATGCCACAGGTTATATTCAGCTCATCAGTTACAAATTACATGTTAATAGAAAACATTAAGATAAATTTATATGTTACTTTGTATTCATTATTAATTCCTAAATTTCTAAATTGGTAAATCTTCTATATATCTTTTGGCAATCGAGTATACATTATCAGAGTCCCTGCTTTATAAATTTCGATAGTCTTTTTTTAATGTAACAAGATTAAATTATTCATCCCTTCAATTATTCAATTAATTATTAATTATCTCTGACACTTCCCTAGTGTAGTATTACTGAAGACGCTTTAAAATTATCAAAAAAATACTTACATAACAAGAACTTCAATGACCGTAGGGATATGGATGAAAAAAATTGAGTTGCAAAGATATATCTATCTAAACTTAGGTATGAATTTCCAAGTATAATTGAAAGATTTTAATTATAGGTTATTATGAAGGATATTGCTTAGAAATCATATTAGTGTAACGGCATGTAAATAACCAATACATGATCTTAAGCTAATAAAATAATAATACCCACTAACCACTGTTAAAGTACATCGGGTTCAGGCAGAAGATGCTCAGATGGCAGGAATATGGAGACACTCTCTTGTGGAACACCACTCGCGAAATAGTTTGTATTAACAGTAAACAAAGATGGTATCTTCGTTTAGGAATAATTTTCCAGAAGTGTTCTATGACACGTGTAGGTATAAATAATTATTTAATGTAAGAAACGGTGCACGAAATCTAATCGCTATGACATTTTTTAATTTTAAAACAAAAGATGGCGGGCGTTGTGTTATTTTTTCTTCTTTATTTTTTTAAATAATTGTCGCTTTATTAGCGGCCAGTTACATTTTCAAACTCCAGTACGTATCTCGATAGGAATATAGGTCACCCATAGATTATAGAAATCTGAAGTCAAGTAAGCTGTTAAGTTTTTTTTTTCGGACTACTCTAGTTGGTCGCAGCTGGCCTTTACAGCTTCACCGGACGTTAGGACGCGAGTGCAGATGGTACTCCAAACCTGCGGAAGGACTTATGGAGCGGCTGAAGGCCAGCTCCTGCCTGACTGATACGACTTCAGTCTGAGGGCACCACTAGGGGTTCGAACCTCGGCTCAGGCCGTCGTAATATCGATCCCCGTTTGAATTGGACGTGGGATCGATCGGAGAGGAACAAGCTGTTAAGTATGTGGAAGAACTTAAAAAACGGCCTAACCATATTTAAATGGAATATGATCAACTTCTGTTCCTGACTGTACCTATTAGACAATTTTATTTACTAATTAATTAATGTAGTTTTATTACGTAATGTGAAAGTTGTTAGTAGATTAAATCCCCCTCTCCCCAATTTCCTCCCTCTTTCGTCCCTCGTATTCAGTACTTAATCACCAGACTAATTAACCTGGCAGCCAGGTAAGTGTATATATTTTAATAGGTGCCTATACAAGAAAGAAGCCTTAGGTGTAACTTGTAGCTACCTATCTAACTTGGTCTGGATATTTTGATTAAAACTTCATATGGGTACGGCACTATTACCAGAGCAACAGGAACAACGTAGGTATATTTATTTTCGAACTAATCTAATGCTCTTGATCTCAATTGGCCTTTACTGCACTGGTACGAGTACTCCCTTGTCTGAGGGCTGAATCACGGGTTGAATGGGGCAAGAAAAATATAGGTGGGGACAAAAGAAGATGAAATAGGTATATACCTAGGTATAATCAGACAGAGATTACAAAACAGCTACAATATTCGAGATAGAACTCAAAAAATAAAATTAGCACTTATTATAAAATTACGTAACTTAAAAATTAGGTTGAATGTACTTTAAAAATTAAACATTTATTTAGAAATAGAGAAAAAATGTTTTTGAAAATACAAACAACAATATCCAATAATATTCAGATGCATTATTGGATTTTGGTGAGAACCCATTTAAACATTATTTTATTGTTTTTTTTTTCTATAGAAAATTTATTCTATGTCATTCTCCCTTCGATATTCAAATTCAAATGGATTCTATTTGAGGGCGTTGCCCTTCCGAAGGCGTTATCTCCGTCCACCAATTAGAATTCAAGGATTACCCTACAAGGATAATGGTGTCTTGTGATTGGTTCAACACTGACACTTGACGATGTCCTGATTTTGATATCTTGAAGTTTATTTTTGTCTCTGTCTCTTAGTCGATGATACTAGAACAGGGCTCTCGTATCGTCCTTTTCTGATTTGCTTGCTCTTTCGTTGCTGGAAAAGCAATATCAACTTATTGTGAAATGCTGAAATAAAAATTACTTAGTAGTATAATAGGTATATTCACTACCCAATTTTTAGATTCTTAATTTAGCATTCAATAATATTTTTTTAAGTAAATGGAATGGCAACCGGCGCTTATGTAGGTACATACCTACATGAAAAACGCCTATAACATCGCGTCAGGTACGTACGTCACTATATATGTAAGTAAGTACGTTGCCATTCCAAAGAACTAAGAGATAAATTCCGTGCTCTGTAATTTCACTGCCTTCTCTCACTCTCCTATCGAATTAGCTTGAAGTCTCAGAATATCTGCGTTAACAGTAGGTATATCTATTAAAAAAATATGTCTCTCTCTTAAATATCTATTTTTTTAAGTTTCACAATTACCTTAAGTGTAATTGTAATACTGTTATAACTACTTAAAAAATAACTACCTATCTACCAAAGTAGGTACTTACTTGGAGCCTTCACAGATCATTGATGTAATTTTTTTTTTTTGGATGATAATGGAATGATGTACGCGCCTGCGCTAACGGTTTACGCTGGCGGGGCACCAGTGGGGGATGATAAGATGAGCATGAGGTCAGGTCAATTAACCCATCGTGACAAATTCACCAGGAATTTATCACGATGGTTTCCAGGGGGGACCACGTGGAGATCAACCTGACGTAGTACATTGCTAGCTTCCCCCCTTAGGGTAAATTCATTCTACGAATGTAGGTACTTGTGTTCTTACCTACGAATGAAAATTATATAAATAAATAGATATGGAATGGTGCTTTCACCAGGGCTGATGTTGCATCACCAGCGTAGGTGCACCTACAGATATTAGGTACCTACCAGGGATGTCAGGGAGGTCCGTATCTGTATAAGAAAATATCCGTAACCGTAACTAAATCCGAAATAAGAGTTTCGGATAACATCGAATAGTGGCGGAGCCTAATTGAGACACGTTATGTCACCATTTTATTAACTATTTGTATTTTCCTATTCAAAATTCCATAAAAAATTAATATCCGTAACCGAAATTATCCAAAACTAACGGATAATCCGAAATAATATCATATCCGCATCCGTATCTGTATCCGGTATAATAATCATTCCTATATCCGAAACCTATCCGTATCCGAAATTTCATATCCATAATATCCCTGGTACCTACACTAGTGCAGGGTGAAGATAAATCAGGTAACACATTAAAGCGATATCACAAGAAATTAACAACGATTTCCAGGACGACCGTATCGGAGTCGATTAAATATGGTATTATTACTATGCTCTTATTATATTTTTTCTTAATTCGACTATTTAGATAATAATATATCTATAATAACTACCAATATTTTTTAAAATAGACTAAATGAAACAGTAGACGTAATGTCATCTATTTTTGAATTTATGAACCAAAGTTTGCTGAGTGATACTAAACCATATACTTAGTCGTTTTACTACTTACTACTAGATGGCACTGTAGTGAATTAAATAGTTTAGACAGAAATATTTTGTTACATATTAATTATTTACTGTTAAATATGTAATTGTGTGTATATTAGATAATAGAAAACTAATTTATTAAAATTAAATAAAGAACTATTACTGTAGTTTTTATGTATTAGTATTGCAAGTGTGTATATTTATTGCTGGCAACATTAAACGAGACGCGTGTCACTCTCATCTACGTAATGCTTAGGATTGTCAAAAATCGTCCAATGACGTGTTGTCTTGTTGAGTATTTTTGTTTGACGTTTCTACCAGTTCAATTTTCTAGCACTTTTTACATACGTGTCAAGTTAGCTTGTTCGCGTTTTGGCTTCAAAGCCCCTAATTTTAGGACACAACTGTAAGTATTACTTTCATTCCATTATTTTATATATCTATACAACCCTACACTCATTAGAATCAGTAAAATCTTGTTAATGAAATTACTGGCGAATTTTATTAATACTTAAATGCATATGTTATGGAAAACTACTTTGATAACATCGCTTGATTAACTAGAAAATCTTATTAAGAGCGTGAAATAAATCCAATTGTAGTTTAATTTAATGTAATGTTCACAGAATTTAACTTTTTAAAAGTAATTTTGCTATAGGCAAAGAGCGCTATCTCGTCACAGCTGTGTACACATTCAAGTATTTTTCCTCTATTTCCTTCTGACGCATATTCTTATTAAACTCAAATTACGTTTCTAATTATCGATTATATTTCCGAAATAACGTTCTATTATTCTAAATGATCGTAAATGCTTATAATTTTTACATAAAGTAAATACCTATAATGAGGCATGTCATTTACTAATTAAGTGAAAGTGATTTCAAAGTATTGGTACATTACGTTTTCATATTAAAATGAAGCATATCTTATTGCCTGCCTTCACTGTAAACTTCTATTACATTTACAATTCACTGCAGTTCTGATAAAGTGAATTCAATAAAACAGTCTTACTTGTGTTGACAGTACCTGCCCAGTTTGTAAGTTTATTCTTTAATTAAATATTTCAATTTTGTGTTTGTACTAATCTTGAAGAAAAGTCCTTTTTCCACATCCTAAAATAAATATTGTTTTTGACATACTGGCATCTTATTTTGTATTTAAATTTGTTTGTTCTTTTAACATGTCAATTAACAACAGTACACACACAATTATAGATTAAGGGCACTACTAGAAGTTAAAAGGGCTGATAGAGAAGTTAAAAGTCTACAGAATGTGTAAGAATTAATAGTTTGATAGAAGATATGTATTTTATACATAGACTAGCTGTTCCTGCAACTTCATCCGCATGAAATTTAACTTTATGTTTCTATTTCGAAAATACAATATTTTTCTAAAATAAAAGTAGCCTAAGTTACTCCTTATTATATCAGCTACCTGCCAAAAAAAATCCTGTTAAAATCGGTCCAACAATTTCAGAGATTAGCCGGAACAGACAGACAAAAATTGTAAACAAAAATATTTTGGTGTATGTACCCTATTGATATTCATATCCATGTAGTAAAAAATGGTTATTTAAATATTACAAACAGACACTCCAATTTTATTTATCTATAGATGGCATTTCAGATTGTTTATAGATTATTTAAGTGTGAAAATTTTAAATACCTTATGATATTGTATATCACAAGGTATTTAAAATTTTCAGCCATGCAGATTTATTGGTGATAATGAATTATTTGTATGTATTTGATATTCAAATATTTACTTTATATTTCTGCCTCTAGCAGTTTGTTCACTTGCTAGCAGCAGTTATATTACAACAATACAGGTTATACACATTATATCACAATTATCTGGAATGGTACAAGAAAGATGTTATATACATCATAATCTATATGATGACAGTGTTGCTCTTCATATAAATAATAATAATAATAATAATCTCCAAAAAGCTGTAATATTAAACACTTGTAGAATAGTCCGCAAATTTTTGTCTTCCACTTAAAAATTATCCATCCTCATCATTTATACTATCATTGTTTGGTGATTTTTACCCGCAATGTTCAGTCTATTATCCCATCAAAGGGAGATATATAATATATATATATATAAAGAAAAAATAATAATAATAAAAGCCTTTATTTACTGTTAACATTACATTACAAATTTACAGCAGTAGTTATTAATAATTATAAATGCTTATATCTTAGATCTTATGTCGGCTTATTTAATTAATTGTCACTTACATAACAACCCTCTAGTGATCTCATTAGTCAGTAGTGGGCAATGCGGATACCGTAATCCTCCTAATGTTAATCCCAATATCACTAACATATGGGATAGGCAAGTTGGAAATAGACAGATTCAGTCCTGTTAGTCTACAATTTTTTTTTTCCACATCTGAATGTCAACAGTCTGTCATGTGACATAGGCCTCCTCCAAGTGACATAGGCCTCCATAGGGTTTGGTGCCTTGCACTCTGAGTCCAAACTTTCCGTGCTACCTTCCTGATGTCATCTTCCCATCTTTTGGTCTGTCTGCCTCTGCTTCTTTTGTGTCCTCTTGGGTACTCTGTAATATCTTAAAAAAAAAAATGGACAAATACTTCATATAAATAGGGAATTAGTAATAGACAATCTCTGTGATCTGGTGATTTACCATACTGCCTTACTTCAGATGGTTGCGAGTTTGATTCCTAACATGGTACAAACACTTGTAATCAATTATTATTTGATGTTTATTTTTAATTACCTACAATTAGGTTTAATTATATGTACATTTTGTTTGATCTTTTTTTTTCGTTTGTTATTTATATTGTATGATTGTATTGTATTTTTTATATTGTTGAAAAACTCTGAATAAAATATTTTTCTTTCTTTCATTCTTTCTTTCTATTCATAAGTATCAATATTTGTATCAGCTGGGTGTTTTCTATGTATATTATATGTCTATTCTATACTATATATATCAGTTGTCTATTACTCATATTACAAGGTCTATTTAGCTTGGAACTAGATGGCACTGTGTGTATTGTCTGGAACTTTTATTATACTTACATAATTGTAATTACTTGATCAATAAAACAAATTATGTAATATCTGTTTGTTTTTAATGTTTGATTGTGATTTTTTTTATATAATTTGTCTATTTTCTCTTTCCAGGACAAATATATTTCAAATCAAACAAAATGGCGCCAAAACAGAGAATGCGTATCGCCAACGAGATTGCCAGTAAAAATATCACAATGCGAGGCAATGTACCTAAAACCACCAAGGTATGTACCAAAGTTCCATCACAAAATATTTTTCAAGTATCGGCCTGAAATTTGGCATGCAGGTAGATGTTATGACATAGGATTTTGATTAATTCTACCCCCAAGGGGATAAAATAGGGGATGAAAGTTTGTATGAAACTTTGTCAATTTTAAACCGATCGGGCTGTGACTTTGCATGCATAAAACTACTATGACATAGGCATCCCCTAAGAAAGGTTTTTGATAAATTCCACCCCTAAGGGGATAAATTACCGCGAGCGAAGCCGCGAGCAAAAGCTAGTTTTTGTATAAATATGTAAATATTTCTTACAGCATGGTATATTAATAATAATTAATTTTTTTATTGATTCTCGATTGAAAACATCAATTTTTGTGGTAAACTGACTTTTCTCTTTTAGAAGCATTACAGATTATTACATATGCTTATTCAGTTTTGGTTCAAGTTTTATAAATAAAAATTTGTGTTAATTATCCTATCGATCATTTCCAAATTACAGAACTGTATGTGTTACACTGGGTTACACTTATACTGTAATTTAGAAATAATGTGTGTAATATTACACAGCTGGGGGGAAGGGGATTGTTAGTAATGTGGATTGATAACCCCATTGCTAGCAATGTATCATGTCAGGTCGACCTCCACGCGGTTCCCCCTGGAAACCATCGTGATAAATTCCTGGTGAATTTGTCACGATGGGCTAAAAAATGATCTCATGCTCATCTTATCATCCTCCACTGGTGCCCTGCCAGCGTAAACCGTTAGCGCAGGCGGGTGCACCATTCCATTATCATCCACAAAAAAAAAAAAATATTACACAGCTTCTGAATTTCAATATATAGAAATTAGTGATGCACGTAACACACTCAAAAATCAATTTGTTAAAAAGGGACGTGTTTCCAATTACGTTATTAACTACTCATAAATTATAGAAAAAATATATTTTCTCTATGATTAAACATATCCAATCGATTTCTCGCCATTTCCTACCATTACTTTGTATAAACATTAACATTAGTTCTGCGCAGTTAGGTCCGAAATGAAACATGCATTAGACATTGTAATCCTTACTGATTTGTAATAACGTACAAAATTAAATACTACACTGATGTACTGCAAACAATAAAAACATATTATGTTCAATGTCACAGGTGGTTTTCGATGTTATTTATATGGAATGAATGTAATTTGTAGCAAATATTATCGGAAACGACCTATGGGCCTCATTATTTTAAACAGACAAACTGCATTTTGTGATTATGTTATAAATCTAGAATAAAATGCGAGTATTTTAACATTTAACCACTAGATTATAATACTCAATAGTCAACAAACTATCTTTAAGTTATACTCTCCTAGTATTTACGAAATATGACAACAAAAAAGTAATAGTCAAAAGTAAATATGATGACCATAATGCTGTTCTGTATATAGGCGACAGTTACCACTTACCATCAGGTGGAACGTCAGCTTGACCGTCAATCCAATTAATAAAAAAAAAATGAAACTACGGTGAAAGTACCAGGATAACATAAATTTATAGGTAGATTGAAGTAGTGGTGACTCGATTGCTGTAATTAATATAGACTTTGTAAAATGTGTTTATCACTGGCATCTCTGGGTCACATATGAAATTCATCAGACTATAGACAGGTTGCTTTGTAAGTTGTATTTCGATTGAAGGGGAGATATGGCAGTGAAATCATGCGCATACAGAGTCATGATATCTTAGTCATCTGACTGAAATGTCAATACCCCTACCATGAATGTTCCATGATAACGAAGTGCATGTATAGGCGATACTAGACATACATAGACAGACATAGACAATATAGACATTAACATCAAATTTAATGTAAATTTAACATAATATAATATTGTTTGTTTTTTTTTTCAGGAAAAAGAGGATCAGTACCCAGTAGCACCATGGCTGTTAGCTCTCTTCATTTTCGTAGTCTGTGGGTCGGCCGTCTTCCAAATCATTCAATCTATTAGACTCGCCTAAGCCTCCTTCCTGTGATTCTTCGACTGATAAATATTCCCCAACATTGCAATCCTCATTCGTGGCTTGTTTCTTCACACATATAAGATTAGAGTAAGATAGACAACATTAGTAACCCTGCATTCCATTACTATGTAGGTCTTTTTCGCGCCAAAATTATTAATATTAACATTTATACAAAGACACTTAATAATAAAAATACATTGGGAAATCAACTTTACGTTTTAAAACTAAAAGTCTATTTTTCTCAGGTTGTGTTTTTTTTATTTAGTGCATTTTATTATTAAGCGCGCGTATTCCTTTGTACGTATGTATTAAACTTCTCAAGTCATGATTATAACATCCGAAATGAAATTCGTGTACAGTCTACTGCGCAATTACTATGTAGCTTCGAAAGTTGCATCTCATTGTTTAGTCATATAAGGACAGATTTTAAATATATAATCTCAAAGGAAAACATTGTACGTATATTCTTGTATATTGTAAAAATAAATAAAAAATAATGTTAAGGGCGGGTGATGCTTAGGTGCCAATCTATTACAATGAATCAATCTGGAATATGCACAATTACTTTCAAAATATTCGATGGTAACCTACTTTAAAATAGAGTAAAGTGTCATTATTATTAAAAGTGTTTTGGGCTTACATTTAAAAGGTTGTGAGCTCACATCTGGCTGAACACAATTTACATTTCTGTTCGACTCTTCGGTGATAGAAAAACTGTCAAATTACTGCAATAATCCGAAAGATGGCGGTTTTCCAGCCATTTTGGTTTCAAATATACTTTATTAAAATGACTTGTTCTATTTCTCAATCTATTAACGATTTTAAAGTCATTGTAATAGATTGGCATGATATCAGTCAAGGCATTTAGTTTATAATATTGCTGAAAAATATTTCATTCCTATAATGATTTTTATTAAGACGTTTTTACGCACAAAAACTTACTTTTGGTAAATATGTTTTTATATTATTTATTGATAATGATATTATACTTAGTCCAATTTTATTGTCTTTGTGCAGATGAATTTATTTTAAAACACTGTAATGAAATTATTTGTCAGTACTGTATTTTTTTAATTTTAAATATGATTCAATTGATTACAGTATATTTGTCGGAATTTCAGTTTTATTTCATTAGTAGTTTGTAACTATTAGTTAATTTTCATAGATTTTGTTCGTGTAGCGAGATATATATACTAAAAAGTCGACTGCGTGGGGTAAAGTCGTACCTATGCAGCTTGTTTTTTTATGCTATTTGGTCTATAGGGTGAGATTAGGCAGAGAAATTACAGGTATTCATGTATATAAGCGATGGTTACCACTTACCATAATTTTTTTTTATAGCATTTAGGTTACAAACGAGCTTGCGGGTCACCCGATGGTTAGTGATTACCGCCGTCTATGAGCACCCGCAACACCAGGGGAATTGCAAGTGCGTTGCTTGCCTTTCCTAGGTTTCAAAATCGTATCGCTTCGGAAATACTATTGTTGGATGGTGATTTCACAACGTGGTTGTGCATGGCAAAAAGTTTCTAGAAAATCGCATGATGGACGATTGCATTTATCCAAATGACCAGGATGATATTTTAGTTTCTGGTGGATGGTACTATGGTGACATTCAGTAGCTGGTATTAATCCGAACAATTCCTCAGAACACTCACCGTGATATATGCGGTAAAAATGATCAGAGATGCAATATCTCGCCGCAGAGCCAGTGGGTCGAGTCTGTCACAAAGACGTTTGCCATTTCAAATTACACAAAAAATATTTTAGAGTATGTAAGCAACTAGAAATAAAATTAATATATTCAATAATTTGTATATTTTTGTTCACAAATGTCTAACATTAATTTTACACGACCGAGAGCTTCAGACTTAACTGATTTATATTTTACATAACACTAAACCTATATGGTACACTCAATTTACAAATTGTCATGTGATATGTGTGCCTTAATATTAGTATTTTATAATATTTGAGCACCTATTTAATATATAGCACCAATTTTATTAGCAATTCAAGAAACGGGACTACTACAAACATCGCAACCATGCACAATAGTTGGTTCAAATGTTCACGTAAGTCGTATGTAATTAAAGAACAGATGGCAGCACTGCAGAAGATAAAATAATTTTCGTAATTAATGTTCTAAATCTAGTCGATGTGTATAAATATATAAAGTAATAAGTAATACATATATAAAGCAGTAAGGAATACAAACACTGTACACTGAATTAATTCGTCTAAGTGGCTTTCTCTGTCAGGTAAGTCTGTCCAATTTTAGTCGTCAAGAAGCTGGCTTTATGAGATGAGTTTCAACTGAAAATAAGGTAGTGAAATTGCAATGTACCGAGTCTAATCTTAGTAAAACATTGTCGACTACCCACGACTTCGTCCGCGTGAAAATAATTTTATTTTTCTAAAACAAAAGTAGCCTAAGTTATTTCTTATTACATCAGCTACCTGCAAACAAAAGTCCCGTCAAAATCGGTCCAGCTATTTCAGAGATTAGCCGGAACAAAAAGACAGACAGATAAAAATTGTAAAAAATGTTATTTTGTTGTACCGTATTTATATTCATATGCATGTAGTAAGAAACGGTTATTTCAATTTTACAAACAGACACTCCAATCTTATTTATATGTATAGATTGTTACCTACGTCAGTTGCTCAACATTTATAAAAGTTTATGAACTACGACGTGTACTATTAGCACAAATAAGATAAAATATTACTAAAACCGATCGGCCTATTTTTTTAATCGATGTGCAGTGCCGCCTTTTACAATAATCTGTTCATTGCTTTAGAATATACTAATATTTCTATAGGAATAATACCAATATATAAATTTTGGTCTTATATGTGTATAACAGATGTAATTAGCATTAAATTAGTAGGTGCCATAAAATTAATAAATTGTGATTTATACATAGTAATTACACTTTGTGTCAATTAATATTATAAGTAATTAATGGTTAATAAAATAGGCTGGTAGTGATAAATTAACATCAAGTGTAACTGAAACCGTGTATAAAATGGGTGGTTGTTTTGAAACAACCGCTTTATTCAAGAAGCAAAATGTAAATGTGTAAAACATTGTAAGTAAATCGCTTGAAGTTTCTTTCTCTCGGAATTCTCTCTCTAATCAAATCTTCTCGAACTATCTTCATACTCGTTTGAATGAGGATCAATCAGGGGATTTTTTACCGCTCTGTTTCATATGAATGCTTAAAAAATGTTTTCAGGTTTCTAAATTGCTTCTTGAATTTTTTAGTTATTTGATTTCTGAATGCTACGGTAGCATTCCTAACTACAGTAATATCCTTCGGCTAAGTATGATATTTTATGATCAACGTGATCGTATAAAAATCCGTGATATCTTAATCTAGATAAATGTACTATATATGCGGTAAACATATGATTACCTCATACAGATACATTTTACTATTACAGTAATAGAAAGCAATTAGTTATTATTGCGTTAGATAATTGCAAAAAAATACAATTGTCAACAAAATTTTTCACTACCGCCTCATTGTGAAGTAATATTATATTAAATGTGGTATAATTTCAAATAATATATTGTGATAATGATGCTTGTTATTTCGCTTGATTACATAATAATATTAGCAAAACAATTCATTACGTACGAATTGCAAATTTGTGACTAAAGTGTACAGTGAATTTATCAACTAACTATTTTAAAGTATCGTAGATGGCCTCGTTGGGATATGTACCATTCAAATGGATGCTGTTACTAAAGCTTAAACAATTATCTTTACTTAGTCGGACTTCAGTCCTTTCTAAACTTTGACTTTCAGTTTCATTCGGATAATCATCCATATTGCTAGTTATTTCTAATCTTATTGCATGAATTTTCTGATCCGTGTGGTTAACTTTGTCGCGTTCCCAGGAATCTACTTTTATAGACACGTCGTTTTTACTTCCCATGTCGTCAAGTTCACTGGATGCCAAGCTTGAATTATCTAAATCGAAGTCTGTAGTCTTCTCTATTACAACTACTTCTATATGTCTAAAAGGATTCTCTTGGTTCTCAATCATCTGTCTCGCCCGTTCATCGTTTCTTATAATTACTTCTTTTTTCACATTACAAATCACAGGGTCATTCGCTAATACATCCACATTAATATCGTAATTTTCTTCATCACTTGGTTTATTACCATTTGGTGTACATATTTCAGCATAAATGTTATCAGAATTGGTATCCGATTCCACCTTTTCTTCTTCAATTTGAACAGCATCAGCTACCTGACCATAAGGCAAGTCTTCTATGACAGGAAGCTTACGTTTCTGTATTGAGGAAATTGATCGACGAATCTTTACTTGGGTTTGTGGTTCCTCTTCTGAAATATCTACAGTCGATATATCTTCATCTATTTCAGATTTGGGCGTAGGAGCTCTTGGTTTATCAATCTTTTTCCTAAAATTACCAAGTTTATCTGCATCGTTTGAACGTTCAGTTTTTGTCGGCATGCTGTTGCTGTTACTACCTTCTTTTTTCTCAGTAGATTTTTTTGGGTGCAGTAAATTTGATGTAGATTTACTCAATACTCTCTTCGTTTTAACGTGAAATTCTGAGCATAATTTCTCTGTAATAAACGAATGTTGTTTATAGTTGATCTCGAAATCACTATCATTGTATAGAGATCCGACTCCAAACATGTTAATGTCTTCACAACTTTGTATTTGATTATAGGATTCTGACTTAGCCATAGCTTTCTCAGGAATTAAGTCAGGCTGTATTCTCTGTCGCCTTTCGAGGTTTGTTGAGGATTTTGTAGCAGATGTCTTTTTGAGCATGTTTTCATCCAAAGACTTTAATTTACGACCAGAACTGGTATCACTTTCCATAGAACCGCAATAATTTATTTGATCCACACTAAGATTTTTACGTCCGTGCTTCATATTGATGCCACTGTCTTCTGTGTTGTAAGAACTATCAGGCATTCCTGTTTGCACTGACACCGATTTCGTCAATATCGGTTTCTTATGACTGGAACTGCATTGACTAGTTCCCATATCAGATGAAGAAGTTGTTAGGCTCTTATAGGAGTAACTCTTTTCAGCTGTTCCATCGTTCTTTCTAGAAGCACCAAACCTATCTTCAATGAGTTTCGCCATATCTTGGTATCGTTCTATGGAACTATGTTTTTCGCCTAGAGGATCAAACGGATCTTTTACATCAGTTAACTTTTCATTCTTCTCAATAGCTGTTATTTTCTCATCAGTTAATTTCTCTGTACTCTTTAAAAGTTTTAGGTTTTTAAACCATTTATTCTTTTTCTGTGCCGCATCTTCTCTGAAAACATGCATTTTATCACTAGAAAATTGTTCTTGTTCAATTTTCTCTTCAGGTTTATCATCTTTACCTTCATCATCGCTGTAAACGTCGTAATTCATGTGTTCGAGTTCGTTTTTACTTAAAAATATAATAGATCCTTCCGTTTCGTCCGGTATATCTTTGAGTACTTTCTCACTTTTGCCAAAAAGTCTTGACGTATCTATTTTAAGTCCCTGTAATGTAAATTTACGTTCTTTCTCGAATTTTACTGGCTCATGGTCTTCCCTTATGAGTTCCTCAGCAGTTTTCCCTTTGCTGACGACTGTGGAGTTTGCGTAGGAGATCTGCCTGATCCAATTATCAACATTGAGTTGACAAAATGTTAGTGCCTTCTGTAGACGGGCGGATAGGAACATTCGCTTCTCGTTCTCGAAACCGAGTTGGGTTCTACGAACTTTTATGCTACTGTTGAGAGGAAGAAGTCGAAGGGAATCCTTCGCGTGGTAGCGTGGGTCCTGCTTGCTTGGACTAGACGGCATCGAACCGTACTCCGGGAGGGTGCACATAACTAAAACTGGTTCTGTCACTGCTGCCCGCAGCAGAAGATCATCTGAAATTGAAACGTAATATTATGTAATAAAAATCTCTCTCTCTCATGACTTTGACTACATATTCCATTAATGCAATCTTCCGTCTTACTTCAAGTGTGTCATATTCCACCATCCACAACAAAAACATAGTAGGATATATATTATGTATGTGACTATATAACCATACTGCCTTTGATATACATATCGTATAAAATTTTTTTTGGAGTTTCTCCAACATGAGTATATATTTTGACTCATGTGGGTTCCAGATAATTGCTTTCTAATTTACTGCGTACGAAGACATTATATAGTATTTTAATACTAAGTATGTTGTCTAACTGGTGTGCCTGTCATAATACAAATCCAAGGGTCCTGAACGCCTGAGTGCATAGTGCAGTAATATGACTTCGGAAAGTAAGATTATCACTCATCAAAACTCCCAGGTCTCTTATAGACCTTACCCTATTTAGCAGTGTATTACCTAACTGATAATTATAAATGTACATATACTTGGAGTTGAATAAACGTAGAAATATAATATTTTTTATTATAGGCATATTCAGTTTAGATTAATATTGATAGTGAACAATTTACCTCCAACATCATGTGCCATCTCGATCGGCACGGTGCCTGCTAACAGCCGCACCCTGGTGGGCAGCCGCCAGAGACTCAACAGATGTGGTAGCCGGTGCGCCCGCACCCCGGCCTCGGGTGGCGGGCTCGACGTCGGCTCGGCTCCCTCCCACTCCGCTGGCGACAGCTCCTCCGGGCATACCTCGAACATCTCCCCTTTTGTGTTGATAGGCACGAAGAGCTCCTGTAATTTATGCATTCCTAGTATCAATGACATGAAAATATAATCTAAACGTTTTCTAATTAAAAGATCTCTTCATCATCATCATCATCATCATCCCTGGGACACGATAAGATAAGCCTCAGTCAGATTACTGATCTTGACTTTCTCCGGGAATTATAGTTTAACTAGCTTTTGCCCGCGGATTCGCTCGCGTTAATTTATCCCCTCAAGGGTGGAATTTATGAAAATCCTTTCTTAGGGGATGCCTACGTCATAGTAGCTTTATGCATCCAAAGTCTCAGCCCGATCGGTTTAAAATTGACAAAGTTTCATATAAACTTTCATCCCCTATTTTATCCCCTTGGGGGTAGAATTAATCAAAATCCTTTCTTAGCGGATGCTTACGTCATAACATCTACCTGCATGCCAAATTTCAGCCCGATCCGTCCAGTGGTTTGGGCTGTGCGTTGATAGATCACTATGTCAGTCACCTTTGAGTTATATATATTTAGATTTAGTTTAACTCTTTCATCACTATAGTTACTAGGGAGGATTATGTGAAGCTTGACCTCACATTGGAAGTACATTGCTAACAATGATCGAGAGTAGGAACGAAGCTGTACATACATGGAACGAAATTAAGTATGGTCAAAAATAATGTCTTCCATATGGCGATAAAAATTTATAATAAAATACCAGATGATATAAAGACACTTCCACGAGGACGATTGACATATAAATTAAATAGTTGGTTACTCGACAAATGTTTTTACTCCGTAAACGAGTTTTTAAATTAATAATAGTGTAATAATAATAATATGTATTTATAATTCTCTGATGACAATTGATTTAATAATTAAATAATATTTAATATTTATATATTTTGCATGCCTAATGAGGCAAAACATAATGGGACATTATATTACAATAACAACCAATGTAAACCTATGTTTAGTGCAAATAAATTTGATTTGATTTGATTTGAATGGGGTCATTAAATCCCATTAATAACAATAGTTATTCCTTGCCAGGAGGTTTTTTAATATATTACTATTCAGGTCAATTAGAGTATGGGTTACTAGCACAATTTTATACTACCGTTAGTTCATTCATAAGAGGTTTTAAATTCGTTATCACTTTCAGTAGCGCTACTGAAAGTAGCAATGGAATAAAGAAAATCGTATTATCAATAATAATAATAATAAATAATAATCATTTATTCAGCATAAAAAAGAGTACAGAGTAAAAAAGAAAACTTAAATACTAATAATCGTCTATGCTGAAAAGGCTTCCACTCAGCTGGTGCCGCAACATGTTACTACAGCGCTGATTTTAGGTTTAGGTGTAATATGTCTAATAATAATGTATGTATTATACACGAATATAATAAACACATACTACACTTATAAATTACCGAGTAAATTTTCTAGACATCGGCATCGTCTTGTAAAATACATTAACACCCAATATAATACCTAGATTTTATTGCGAAGCCATTCGTTTTAATGCATTCGACATCACGCAATCGTATTGTTTATGAGTTTGTGCATACATACCTACAAGTTGGTACAGTCGGCTTCATAATGATGTCCGGTTGGCAGAAAAGTTTCAAATAAATATAACTTGATCAATAATCGTAAAAAATAGTATTTATTTATATTGAAACAGGTATATGATTCTATTATATTCAGTAAATTATCTTATCTGTGGTACTACCTACACAAAAATGCTTTTTAATTGTATATATTGACTCCCAGTGGTAACTTTATTAGGATATACTTTTGTTTACATTAATTAACAGCATGTTACTCTAGAAGAGTGTAGATTTTAAACAGTGAAAGAATTTTAAACAATGTAAGAATTTCTCAAATCGTTCTAATGATTTGGTAGTTTACTTTCGTTATAGCTAAATACGCTCTCTCTCTCTCTCTCTCTCTTTACACTGAATATTAGTATAGATTCTTTGGATAATTTATTTGAAGCTGACTGTACCTGTCGTAAGTAAGATGGCGGCCATTGTCACAACAGTCATAGGTGTGGTGTTGTGCTGCTACATAAGTGTAGGTATATTAATTCTTTGGTTAATTTTAATAGACTTTTTATGGTATATGATGCCTTAGTAACTCTGTCAGGGCATCAGCATCGGATGAAAACAGGTTGGTTATACTTTGTGCATCGCATCGTAGCGAACTTATTAAGAATTAATCACGATTACCAAGGTAACATGAAGGCCATGTAAGTCGATGATAGAATATGAATGGTTACTTAAATAGTTATCCGTCAGTATAAAAATTAAAAAATGCTACATAATTGTTTTTCTAAACCCTTATTTTTCAGAAAATAATTAATAATTTAAATATAATTAAATTTAAATGAAAGTTGAGTACTCATTATATGATGAGTACTCATTATATGTTCAAGATTTATTTTTTAATGGATGATAATGGAATGGTGCACTCGCCTGCGCTAATGGTTTACGCTGGCGGGGCACCAGTGGAGGATGATAAAATAAACATGAGGTTAGGCCAGTTAGCCTATTCGTGACAAAATCACCAGTAATTTATCACGATGGTTTCCAGGGGGAACCGCGTGGAGGTCAACCTGGCATGGTACATTGCTAGCAATGAGATCATCAGTCCACATTACCCGCTCCCTATCCATCATTCCTCTTCTGGGCCATATATAACCAAATCTAACCAGGTTTGGTTATAGCCCAAGGCGGCGGGGGACAAATCAGACTTTTCAAAACATATCGCCAGTTTTACAAATTTAACAATAAACAACCGCGGCTCCTTGGGAGGAGGGAAAGAGATTGTTAATAACCTCATTGCTAACATATACCATGTCAGGGTGACCTCCACGCGGTTCCCCTGGATACCATCATGTTAAATTCCTTGTCAATTTGCCACGATGGGGTAACTGACCTAACCTCATACTCATATTATCATCCCCCACCGGTGCCCCGCCAGGGTAATAACGTTAGTGCAGGTGGGTGCACCATTCTATTATCAATTCTAAAAAATTTAGATCCATATGGGCTGGTTATTTGGATAAATGGAATGGAACACTGTACGATAGCTATAATAATATATTATTTAAATAAGTCACAATTACCAGGTTTACATAAATATACGTAGCTGCGTTTTAATGCTAATTACAACATTTGTATTACCATATTACCATACCTACCTGCATGAGAACAAGTTAGGTACTTGATGAACGGAAAGGAAAACTGTATAGCCTATAGACTCCTTATGAATTTTACGACAAACTGGGTTATTTTTACGACCGATACTTAATTAAGTAATTGTGGTCTTGTATGGGAGTTATTTGGAAGTCGATGTACTCTTGTCTTGATATAAAAAAGATACGACAATTTTCACTGCTACAAGAAATATTTGTCGCTACTGCACGATAGATGGCGCTAGTCTACATCAGGTATGGTTCTATACAAGAGCGGGATATCTCTTTCGGGGTTTTAAAATCGGCTAAATATTTAAAAGAAACCAACAATTTCTATACAACTAATATATTATTGGTTTAGTTTTCTAACTACGATTTACTAACGATTATATTTAGATATTTTAGAACGACTAACGATTTTAAAATATGTACAACTATAAGATTTAGTCGATTTTAAAATATGTTTTATTTACTTAGCTACTATATTAATTCTTCCAATTATTGCAGATATGCGAAGTAGGGGACGAGTCACTTTATTGCAGCTATTAGGCAACTCAATGTTAGTATTAACATTTGTATTTAATAAGTTTCTTTTAATATAAATGACATTACAAAAAAAAATATTATAAAAAAAAATAAAAATATGTTCAAAAATTAAGAAATAAATTTTAGGGATGGACAACCCTATCACTTAGGGATATGAAAAATAGTTAGTAGCCGATTCTCAGACCTACTGAATATGCATATAAAATATCATAAAAACGGTCAGCCGTTTCGGAACAGTACCTACCTACCTATGCTAACTAACATAAGTACACGAGATTTTTATATATGATATATTGTACATAACAAATTATTAAATAACCTGTTATAAGCAATAATAAAGTAGGTATGTACGTATATCTAAAATTAAATTTCAACTGTCCAATTATATCAATGATGTATTACTTTAAAGAACTCATACACTCCCAACCTGTTTGCACCCATAAAAACTGTATTTTATCATACAATGGCGCAACTAGAGTCTAGACCTGCCTTATTGCCTAATCAATTTTGCCATCTGTATGGCAGAGCGAGTGGTGCGGGTGTCAGGGTTGCCAGTTCTTAAAAATAATTTCTGCCTCGTACAAAGATGAACTCTCTAGCTTTCTGCATCGTAATATTTTGCCTGACAGGACTGGAGGACGGGGAAGTGGGGTGATTAGAATAGTTCCGTAAAATGAGCACTATGATGTCCTAGTACCGAAGGTCACAAATTGAACTAAGACGGGCTCGGTTTTTAAGCATCCTTACTTGCAATGGGTACGGATTCGATTCCTCGTATGATGCAAACATTTGTATTCATAAGTATGGATATGATTGTTTGTATTTGTGAAAATTTTTTCTATATATACCACAACATAACACAAACTGATCTGGCTTATTATGATTATTCTCTATAGTTCTTCGTTTTACGTCCGGGGCCGTACAAGTATTACGTAAACACTATGGGAGGGCGGGGGGTCTTTGTTTTGCTTATTTTGAATGACATGGGGGTGGGGGAGTCTAAATGATCATTACGTCATTAGTAGTTATTTACTTTTTTAAGAAAATGGCAACATTGTCTTTGCTAAAAAACAATACATTAATTGAACAATGTTTACTTAAGCATGGGGGAGGGGGTAAGAGCTTTGCTTACTTTTGCTGACAGGGGGGGTGGGAGGATAAATAATTGTAATAAATCTGCTTAGGTAATACTTGAACGGCCGCTCCTCAAAATAATTAAGTATTTAAAATTTTGCGTTACGGATCACACTGATAATATTATTCTAATATTTTCCTTTAATTTAATATTATTATAGAGGATTAAGATTTCATGGCACTTTTCTTATAATATGACAACCTTATCACCCGAGACATGTCTTATATAGCAAATTGCTCGATGGCTGAAATAGGTAAGACTGAGGTACCCACTGAGATGACTTTTAACAAAGTCAAAATAATGTTTTGTTAATTATATAACTTAAACAAGTATATAAACTGTACCAGGAACCTCCTTTGATTGGCATCCCTGGCGGGCGTTGCCATTGTGCGAAATAAAAGTAAAAGAGAGTTTGTTTATGAATATGCATTGCCTTTACGCCTGTCACTTGTTTTGACATATGGCTGGTGAAATTTACAGCTCTATATAGACATATATACATAGACTGTCACTATGCAGTTAAAAGTAGAGTTGTTATTTCGTTGATGTAATTATACCGGTCTGATATAATATTTAATCATTTTCTATACTAATCGCCCAGTTGTCGAAATTCGGCCATAGTTAATATATACATACCTATAGTTAGTAAAAATCACGGGATCTTACCACGTTTTATATTTATGGGGTTCCCGATATTTCGGCAGTGTTCACAGGTAAACTACCCGTTGTTATCCGAGATCATGGTGGCACTGCACAAATTTTCATTTTCACCCCTTTTTCACCCCTTACAGATATTAAAATAAAAGATAATCTATGCTCGTTCTCCTGATACAATCTGTCTTCATGTTAAATTCTATTAGGATCCATCCAGACGTTAGCCGTAAAAAATAAACAGCCGGACAAACAGACAGACAGAGATATTTTTCACAATTCTAATATTATACGTATATACAATATTCAAAATGGATTATAAAAAAAGTAAAAATAAGTTTAATTTAAACATCTTTATCATAGTAGGTATATATGGTATACTAAGCTAAATCTCAAATAAAGCATGAGAAACTAAGTTAGTACATTAAATCACACCTAGATGTCACTTTCAAAAGGTTTCGTATTTTCACCTATTGCAATAAAGTTTTACATCGCGCTATTAAAATTTTATCGCACAGTTCGTATATATACCTCGCGCAGAAAATTTATTTATGTGTCTATTGAAAGGAGAGACGGTTAGCACTCCCCTTGACAAGGATGGAACACACAAAATGGTTAAGGCACAACTTGACCACATTTTTTTAAGGAAATCTGGGATTAATTTATGCTAAGATTATAAAGCCGTAAAGTTTGTGATTATGGATCTTCGAGCAATCTCTGGTACTTCTCATGTCATTTTGAACATTATTTTAGAGGTCATTTATCGAGAAAGCCTATTTTCAATATCGGATCAGAAGTACTGGTGATAACCCAGAACATCCAAATTTATAAACTTTATTTCTCTATAATATTAATTTTATTAATTTATTAAAAAATATCTCAAGGCTTTTAAAAACTAAATATGCCAATTATAAACAATAATACAACACGAAAGTGAATTAGGTATTCATACAAATCCACCGAATAATTAAAAAATTACCACATAAATTGAGTCAAGTAAACAGCAAAAGGATTTCCTTTCTAGTCAGTGCCCGGATATACGAGCCGTTAAATTATAAGTAGGTACATATTTAGTTAATTGAATCAATCATTGGTTTATTAGATTTATTATCACTATAAATATGTTAATTCTTTCAGCAGGATTAAAGCATAATTATTTATACTACCAATAATCTGGTATTTCTCTGGAAAATTTTTTTTATGCATTGTGAATGGCAAACAAACTGTACAAAACAATATATTATATATATAGTCTTATTATATGTCTATATATATATCAGAGATATATATAGAGTAATACAGACACTATGTTAATAATACAATAACTAGTTTAAGGAATAAGACTCATGGGTTGTTAATCTGAAAGACTAAGATGTCATGCCTCATAGCTTGTAATTTATTCAATTCTTGATGGCCTCGATGGTCTAGCGGTTTAGCACACCGCTTCACTTCCGTTGGTCGCGGGTTTCATTCCGCGCTCGATGCAAACATTTGTATTCATAAGTATGATTATTTGTATCTGGGTGTTTTCAATGTATGTTATGTATGTATTTACAAAAAATAAATATCGAAGTACTATAACAGTTGTCTTGTACCCATAAGACAAGATCTGCTTACCATGGCACTAGATTGCTTTTAGATTGTTAATTGTCCAAGATTCTTTATATTATTTAATTAAAGTTAATTTTAGTTCAACGGAAACTTATCTTACATAGCTTGATTGAAGGTTGAGATACTCAGACCACAGATAACATAATATTTCATACTTGGGACTGTGGTATCATTTTCCTGTCTATATATCTACGACTTTAGTGTCTATAAGTCTGAAAAGTAGAAAAATAGACCAAGAAGCAATGTTTTTGTTAACTCTGTGGAGATGATGTAAAGGATATAAATTGATGAATTAATTTCACTGTTAAAAACAACTGTTGCTGGCAGCTTGTCTACCATTCTTTTATAAACTTACTATTTTTTTATATCTATTTTTTTATATGTCACTTTTGACTACTTATTGTTTTGTTACTTCTCGCTGTGAGCCCTTTTGGGAAAAATACACATTTTTACTAGTATTTAGTTTTTATTAAAATAGTAGTTGTGTTCCCGCTCACAGTAACAATAACCATTGAAATATGGAGTAATGAAACACTTGTTTAATTGATGATTGAAGATTTTGCAAGTTACAGGAATTTTAACAACATCAGACAATATTCACCAAGGTCTACTAGCAGAGAATGAAAAGATAAACGTTAGAAAGGAAATTTTAGTTAAATAGAATAAACGAATTATTTGGTATTCATTGAAGAAAACTAATTTAAGAAGTTTCGGGAACATTGAATTTCCTTCGATACGAATCATATTTTGATGAATTTGGTCGCACATTCAAGTAATTCCATTTCTCGCCATACATCGATGCATCCTTATTCAGTTTCCTATGCTTTTTAGTCGAAGCAGATGTAGAAAGCCATGTTAGTACAGCATTTTTCCCATACTTTTCTAGGTCTATGACCCCGTGAGTAGATATTATAGATCCATCAATTTTTAGAACTACTATATGAGGTATACACGTAATATCATACATATATTTGAGAGTAAGTACCAGGGGATCATGAATGCTGAGAGTAAACCAATTTGCTTGCGTTTCGTAGCTTTGTTTCATTTCTGCTTCAGTTTCGTCCATTGGTACATAAATTACTTCTATTGGTAGATTAAGTAATTTGATACTTTCATATATTTCGTAGAATTTCACTATAATACCATCTTTGTCTATCCCTCGGGCTGTAAAGAGTAAGACAAGGACGTCTGTATTTTTTCTTATCCACTCGCATGGTACTACGTCGTATCTTTGATTATAAACTACGGCTTTATCCATCCAGTTGTAAGGATTAAACATTTGGATTATTGAATTGTTCATGTTGTTACCAATTTGTTAGCACAAGCACTTCAGCTTCAACATGCAATTTGCAGTGTCTTACTATACTGTCTGTCAATTTTTTTTTACAGATAATAAATCAAATTTAGAAACTAGGAAATAAAACCACACTCGAAATTAGACTTTTAACTAGACAATAAAAAACTTTTTTAAATCGATATGCTTTTTGTGGAAAAAAGGTTTGAATTTTTCAAAAATACCGAGAGTGATGCGTCGGTTTGTCATCTTTCCACCTCTGTCTATTTCAGACAATTTGACTTTCCATAAAATTCTAACTAATTTAGTGTAATGTAACCATTACCACTACCTCTAAATGCAAAATACATATAATATATATTTTTCTGATGTTCGTATGCAATAACGAGTGACCCATGCAAAAGTGTGACAGCGCCTTATCTTCTTTCCATATTTGGTTCAAAGTGTACCGAAACAATGACATACACGATTTGTAATTCAAAACAACATTCTTCCGAACACGCTTCACCTTTATTTCGTCCGGATAAGCATCAAATTCGCATAATTCTTGAATTTTTAATAACACCACCGACATGGTCAGTTTGGCCAGACCCGTTCAAGATGTCGAAATATCGATATTCGATCTTAAAAACTTGGCAAAAGAGATCATTTTAAATCAGCAAGTGTCCGAATTCAATGCAAAACTGCGTATAGTTCATTCGTGTTTTGCATGTGAAACATCGGGTGACCCAACTATTTTGTCCCTGTTTATAAAATACAATTGAAACAATAAATCGTATGCCTTATACATGATATCATTAAGAGTTACTAGGAACGCATGAATGTATAGAAACTTGGTAATGCTATTATCAAAACGTGCCCATAAAGAACTGGCTTGGAATATCAATGATCCGACTTGATTCAAGTTTATGCCTGCTGTTTCAGAGCAGACGTATTCCTATTTATATACGAGAACATTAGTGGTTCACTATCCCGACTTATATACCTAAAAGGTCATGAGTTTGAACCTATATTAATGTGATAAATTGTGTTTGTTTGTTATCCTTTCACAACAAAACGGCTGAACATTCGTTAGTGAAATTTGAAGTGAAGATAAATTGTATCATGAGGACGGACAAAGACTTCTTTTATCTCAAAAAAAACAGACATTTTCACGGGGTAACGGCTAGACTGTCATATGGAATGTTTTGTGTTTTATTTAAAATTAGAGCTTGACAGCATTGTCAATCTCTAATTTTAATTTCCCATAGAAATATCAATATTCAGGTCAATAATTTGGTTATTAGATTAAAGTAGTGTAACTGAAGCCTTTATAGACTTTATAGGCTTTGCTAACAATTTAATTTTATTACTATTTTTTAAAATTATTGTTATCTCTACAACCTTAGGTTAAATGAGCGTGACAGATAGATGTCTATCAGTTACGTTGACGAAAAACTAGACAACAAAACCAATGAGAAACAGAATTACGCGCGAACAATGATGTAAGACTGATCAAGTTCGTTTGTATGTCTATCACTTCAATTAATCTGTAATTTAGATGGTTTTGTTACATACTTCCTTATGATCTTATCATAGCTTTATGTTTACATTTAGGGTCAGGTTTTTACCTATGGTTGCACTTTGGAACATTTTTTTTTACATGAATATGGAATGCTGCCAGCCGGGTACCTGCTCTAACTGTAAGGCACCAGTGGAAGATTATAGGATGAGCATGGAGGTCAGTTCAGTTATCCATTGTGGTAAATCCAGGAATGATGATGATGAAACAATGGTTATTTTCAAATCAAATCAAATCAAAACAAAAATAATTATTCATGTAAGACACTCTAGTCACTTATGAACGTCGACTATTTTATATTAATATTTTTCCCTACTGTCCCGTTTTCAGGAGATACCTGATGTAGGTCGACTTATATGGTATTTATATATATTATATAACTACACAATAGCTCCTTTCATTAACTTTAGCCCAGGAATGATAGGTCAAATATTTCGGGGCTTGTAACTTAGGATTCATAGTACAGGGGCATAAAAGATGTTACCAACATTACTAACATGCCGAATTGATCAAAACTCACACGTGCACCTATTATTTTACCTATTACATTTAATAAATATACTTTATTACAGACTGAACAATAAGTAAAATCTTTATTTACTAATTATATGTTTTTAAAAAGTTTCTATATATAATACTTTGACTGAGAAGAGACATGTTTCGACATAGACAATTTATTATGTTATTATGTACACAACTCATACACATACGATAGAAGCCGGGGCGGATCACTTGTATTCAGTAAATTAATAAAAAAACTATACATTATGTAATAAAAGAATTTTTAATTGTCAAAAAGACGAATCGTGTAACTATGTAAAATCGTTTCCCATGGAAAACAATAGACTACAGTGCAATTCATAGAACTAAGGTCGACTATGCTAACAAATTAACATAAGACTCACTTGCAATATGAATTTATTGGATAGGGCGTATACTTAAAATGGTCAGGTTATGACAATATATCACAAATTACAATGCAAGCCATTGTCAGTCTAAACATGTAAATGATTAAGTAGAAATTGCAATGGCCTTCGTGTACCATTTTCAACCATTAATTTCATCCTTACGGTTACACGCTATGGTAATTTTCTTTAAGTATTTTGTGCGTATGTACATATATTAGAATGTAACATAAGTCAAGCTAAATTTGTCTGCACAATGCATTTCAGGACAATGTATAGAAAATTTATTATAGATTTTTTTAACTTGTATTTTATATAAAATGCATATAACTTTATTTTTATAATTATATATTAGAAAGTCATTGAACTTTTTTGCGCATTGTATTTTCTATGTTATTATTTAAAATTAATACTTAACTAGTTTTTCATAAAATTTTGTTCCTCACATGTTACTCTATGTTAGTATATTTGATTATATACCGTTCTTCAGAAAGAAGGAGCTTAATTACCCTTATTTTTTTGTGTAGTATAACTCCGAAATTTGCTATCACATTAGTCTTCCCAAGAGTAATCGTCTATCGTGGTATGGACATATAATGCATAGCAATGGAGATAATATTTTAAGGAAAGTGTTACATATGAATGTGGATGGTTATAAGAGCAGAGGAAGGCCAAAAAGAGATGGACTGTGTGAAAGATGATATGGTAAACAAGGAAGTAAATAACGCGATGACTGCGAACAGGCATGAATGGAAGAGAAAAACATACTACGACGACCACAAATAAATGGGATAAGGAAATGATGATTAGTCTTCTCAAAAAAATATATTTTGATTAAAATTCTATACTGTTTTTTTTTTCGGATTACTCTAATGCTGTTGGCCGTAGCTGGCCTTTACAGCTTCACCGGACGTTAGGGGGCGAGTGCAGATGGCTCTCCAAACCCGCGGAAGGTCTTATGGAGCGGCTAAAGGCCAAGTCTTGCCTGACAGATACGACTTTAGTCTGAGGGCACCACTAGGGGTTCGAACCTCGGCTCAGGTCGTCGTAATTTCGATCCCCGTTTGAATTGGACGGGGGATCGATCGGAGGGGAAAAAATTCTATACCTGAGAATCAACATACCTATTAAATAGTTAAATCTAACATCGCCTAAAATATACTATTTATTTCAAATAGTATCTATATATGTTAGTACAAAAACCTAACTATATATATATATATATAGCCGTAAAATTATTAGTAACTGAAAAGAAATAAATTCCTCTTCTATCTACATCTCTATAAGGTCTATTATTGATTAGTAATATTATATCATATTAAATGCAAGAAAATGTACAGGTATGAACACAAAAAATCTATTTTATAGACGGATCCATAGAAATGGAATTCATTCCTTTTTATTTCTATAGAACTTTATAGGTGTAAAAGCGATTTCTTGTGCTATCATAGAATTTGTCTCAGAAAAACAGAAGAAATATTACTAAACTATATTAAATTTATCATTTTAAATTACTATTATAAAGTACCCACTGTACAATACAGTAAAGTGATGAGTAGAGCATACAAGTGAAAAGTAACGGGTTATTTCTGTGTCACTCGATAAACGTTTCGAACATTCGACAAATTTCCGGCGATAACAAAAAAAGTTATCGCGAGACTACCTAATTGCAAAATTAGATAATGATTGTTTTGAATGTACACTGGAAATTGATGATTTGCTGTAGGAAAGTCAAATTATATGTCAAAATATATATGTGTGTATGGGGCCAAACTCGTTTAACTGTTTTATTATTGTTTTGTGTTTGGTAAGCGTGTCAGAACCAAAATGGATTTAATAACATTGTGTTGCTTTATTTGTATTGTGTTGTATGTTTTTATACTTAGAAGTAAGTAATTATAGAAATTATTATAATAATAATAATCTCAGGACTATTCACACAGCGCCATCTAGACCCAAGTTAAGCTAGCTAAAGCTTGTGTTATGCGTACTAGATAACTAATACATATACATAGATAATTTTGTTTTCGTAAATACATACATAATATACATAGATAACACCCAGACCGATACAAACAATCATACTCATGAATACAAATGTTTGTGCCGTGCGAGGAATCGAACCCGCGACCATCGGTCGTAAAGCGGTGTAGACCACCGAGGTCGTCGATTATTACTAGTACTATTTCTATAGAGTCATTAAAATAGTGTAGACAAAAAGTAAGTCTAGTACAAGTTAATTACTATACGTTATTTATAACTCAAGACGGTTGGGCTGTTTTTTATGATCTCTGATTGTAGGATTCATCTCAATCTCGAGTAGCAGAATACCTACCAGATTAGAATAGGAGTACAGTAGAAGTAATAGACTGAATACTAGAATAGAAGTAAATAGAAGTAGTACTAGAATAGAAGCAAAATAAAATATAGTAGATATAATAGAAAATTCGAAGGCATTATTTTGATATTACAACTTACTAGTGGTTACCCGCAACTTTGTCTGCTTTTTTTAAGATAAAAGATACACTATGTTCGTTATCGTGATACAGTCTATCTTCATATTCAATTTCATCAAGATAACTCCAGCCGTTTATTGATGAAACGATAACAAACAAACA